TCTTCATTTTGGGAACAAATTTTTGCCACATGCACGTCAGATAGAGCACTAATCTCCAGGATATATAAAGAACTCAAAATATTTAACACCCCCCCCCAAAAAAAAATACCCCAATCAATGAATGAGCTAAGGAGCTCAACAGTCATTTCTTAGAAAAGATATACATTTGATCAACAAATATATGAAAAAAAATGTTCAACATCTCTAGTAATTAGAAAAATGCAAATCAAAACTAAGATTTCATCTCACACCAGTCAAAATAGTAGTTATCAAGAATATATACAACAATAAGTGTTGGCGAGGATGTGGGGGAAAAGGCACACTCATATATTGCTAGTAGGACTGAAAATTGATGCAACTACTATGAAAAGCAGTATGGAAAGTCTTTAGAAAAGTTGGAATGGAAACACCATTTGACCCAGCTATCCCACTCCTTGGTTTATAACCAAAGGACTTAAAATCAGCATACTATATTGATGCAGCCACATCAATGTTTATAGCAGCTCAATTCACAATAGCTAAACTGTGGAAGCAACCTAGATGCCCTTCAACATATGAATGGATAAAGAAACTGTGCTATATAKACACAATAAAACATTTCTCAGCATTGAACGATAATAAAATTATGGCATTTGCAGGTAAATGGATGGCATTGGAAAAGATCATACTAAGCGAAGTAAGCAAATCCCCAAAAACCAAAGGCTGAATGTTCTCTCTGATTAGTAGATGCTGATCCATAATGGGGAGTGGGGAAACATGGGAAAATGGTGGAGTTTTGATTGGGCAAAGGGGAAGGAAATGAAGGGAGGGCATATGGGGGCAGGAAAGATGGTGGAATAAGAGGGACAGTATTACCTACGTACATGTATGACTGCACATATGGTGCAATGCTACATCRTGTACAATCAGAGAAATGAAAAGTTGTGCTGCAATTGTGTATAATGAATCAAAATGCATTCTGCTGTCATAATACCTACTTAATTAAATACATACCTAATTAAAATGAATTAATTTTTTAAAAATCAAAAGGTAAAAAAAAAATAAATGACACAACAAACCTGAAAAAAAGTTCCCTTCAGAATATATTAATTTTGAGATGCCTGAAGACAATCCAAGAGATGCCCCTAATTAAATATTTGAATATATATATGAGTTTTACCTGAATGGAGAAATCAGTACTGGGATCAAATATAGGATTCAATATCATAAGAATTATCCAAAATCATATAAAATATGAGTATGAATGAAATAATGGAAAAAATAATATAGGAGGAACAGAAGAGGTGACAGAATAAAGACTCCCCTACTTGATTTGACTCCATGTAGTTTCTTTGTGCCTTTGGTGCACTGTTGTGGGCCAATGGCAAAGGCAAAAACTCAACTGTTCTGTCACAATACATGAAATTTGAATCTAAAAACTTCATTTTGAGTCTCATGGGAGAAAATTATTTTAAGGGGCTTTTTTTTAAGAGGTAAAAGGAGATTCAAACTGAAGCATCAAATCCTCAGAGAGAACAATTCCAGAAAAGTTTAATAGTTTGAACATAGAATATGATAGAGATAGAACAATGAAGTTCCTTTTTTGCTGTTACAGACATTCCAGCAAGGTCGCCTGGTAATTGTAATTCATCCTTAACAATTGGTGCAGGAAGGACAGGAGCCAGTATTCAGAGTCCAGACAAAGCAATTATACCTTATTTCTATGAATAATACTGTTAATAGAAAGCTAGTTCTTAGAGCATGGGGAATAGGAACCTATTATGATTTAGATATGAGATGTCCCCCAAAAGCTTATGTGTGAGACAATACAAGAAAGTTTAGTGGTGAAACGGTTGGGTTACGACAGTCTTCACCTAACTGGTGCATTAATCCTCTCGTAGTGATTAACTGAGTGGTAACTGTAGGCAGGTAGGTTTTGGCTGGAGAAGCTCAGACTTGTGGATCGCAAAAGAAGTTAATGTAGTTATAAAGTTCATTGTTTTCATATCTAAATAATACTATATAGATAATATTTTGTTAAATTGTTGTTGAGTTTTATCTATTAAGCACTTTCTTGATAAGTTCTTTCATGCACCTCATTTACATTTGTTCTTGGGCATTTTCACAATTTTGATTTTCATACTTCCTTAAGTGGAGAAAGGTGGCCACTATTTTCTATTAAAAAAATAACTTTTGCTAACCATTAAAATGATAGATATCATAAGGTAGTCTCTTTTCCTGCACCATAAATAGTTCTACTTCTCTTAATCTTTTCATCAACAGTTTTAAATGCTTCATTTACTTTGTGATCWCTTCATGTTCAAATACTTCTTACAATGAGAAAGCCTAAATGTGATAGATTTTTATAAAATTCTAATCAATAGATTATAGAGCTGCTCTAATAGCAGTAAGCATAAATTTAAATTTTGCCATTGATTAAATTATTTTAGATTCTATTTGACTTAAAATAAAACTGACTTACCAAGTATGTTCATCTTGGTTAGGAAGTAGAATATCCAACACCATAAACATGGTTGYAGTTGATTAGACTTCAGAGATGGTGGTGTAGGCTCATAGGGCATTAACCCTATTTCTTTTTCTTTTCTTTTCTTTCTTTCTTGCTCCTTCCTTCTGTCCTCTCATCCTTCTTTTGAAAGCTGTATTCAGTTTGTATTTACTCAAAGTAGATTTTCTATTTTTCTTTTCATTTCTTTTCAGATACTTATAGTTCTTTAATCCTAGGTATGAAGCTTGAGATATAACTTTTTAATCTACAGATAACAGCATCTGCCTTTGTAGATTTTTAAGTCTTTATTGAAGATTGATTTTTAAATTTTTATATCCACTTATTCCATACCTTTACCTTATACATACTTACCTTAATATTCTTCTTCAAATCATCCTAGAAGATCTTTCAATCCTTCCTATCCCCTAATGGAGCATAATAAGTATCTTTCAAGTCCTTCAAAGAATCTTCCCTTGATTTTTTTTTCTTAAAATATCTCTTACATTTAATGAATATTTTCTGGGTCCATCTTGTGTTGTTCTTTGCCRCCTTTTTAAAAATTATGCCATCAGCCTTTTTTTTTTTTCCACTCATAAATTCAATTCCAGATAACTAGAAGTTTTCATCAAATATTTTTGAATGRCTCTTTCAGTGGAAATGATTTTTCCAGGGCCTACTTGCCCTTCTTGGATTTACCTTTCTTACCTTCTCCCTTCTTACCTTTATCCTTCTTCTTTCCCTCTTTCTTGGACTCTTTGTCCTTCTTGCCGCTGCTGGCTTTGTCGTCTTCGGTTTCTGTTTCTCCTCCTCCGTCCTTGTCTTTGCCCTTCTTGCTAGACTTCTTGTCTTTCTTGCTTTTCTTTCCGCTTCCTTTGTCGTCTTCAGTCTCTGTATCTCCTCCTCCTCCGTCCTTGTCTTTGCCCTTCTTCCCCCCTTTCTTGTCTTTCTTGCCTTTCTTGCCTCCTGCCTTTTCGTCTTCCGTTTCCGTATCTCCTCCTCCCTCCTTGTCTTTGCCCTTCTTYCCCCCTTTCTTGTCTTTCTTGTCTTTCTTTCCGCCTTCTGCGGGGGCCTTTTCCTCTTCAGATTCCGTCTCTGCTATGGGCGGGGCCGCTTCTTCTCCCTCTGCTTCTTCTGACTTTGCGTCTTTGTCTTTGCCCTTTCCACTTTTCTTGTCTTTCTTTTCGCCTTCTTTTTCCTCCTCCGACTCTTCACCTGACCCCTTGCCCTTCTTCTTTCCTTTCTTACTTTTCTTTCCGCTTCCTTTCTCATCCCCAGATTCTTCACCTGACTCCTTGCCCTTGCCACCTTTCTTACCTTTCTTACCTTTCTTCCGTCCCTTTTCACTTCCAGTTTCTGAACCGGAATCCTTCTCTTTTGAACCCCTTCTACTCCTTTTGCCAGATTTAGATTCTTTTTCTTCATCCTTGCCCTTCGTTGACTCTGCCTTTTCTCTGAAGTCTGATTCCGATTCAGTTTTCTCACCTGAATGCATCTCCTCACATTCTTTGGGTGGTTTAGAGGGTTTGGGTGGAGGCCTCCTCCTGGCAGCTAAATAAACAGATGGCCTCTCTGAAATTCTCATTAAAGAACGGTGCATCCATAGTGGCGGTCTTCTTTGTTGCAATTGGGATTCATCAACTACCTGAATTCGTTAGAATAAGGATGAACAAATTTTGAGTTATGCAAGCTTTTATTATTAACAGACCACTAAATATAGATTAAATCCAAACATTAAAAAGTTCCAGATTTTGTGATTAAGAAAGTGGATGATTTATATATTTCATAGTATATTCTGATTTTGGAATTTCATCATTTTTAAAACTAATGGATAGTTATGCTTCATTGGGGTCTACTTTCAATCTAGGATCTTCATAATTCCCTCAAGATTTTATATTAAATTGGAAGAGACCTTCATGGACTAATGACATCTTAGAAATTCTCCTCAATATCAGGATAAATATATATATATATATATATATATATATATATATATATATATATATATTTTAACTGTTCATGAGCATTCTTGGAATGTCTTGCTCACCCTTCATTTCTACATGGACTTATAAACAATTTGATCTCCAGGGTTTAATAGTTTCAAGTTCAGATATATAAGAGTTGGTACATTTACTTTGTGAAACTTTTCTTTAAATATTTTTATGACACATAATCACTCTAGAAACATTGGAAAATATTTATCTCCCAATGCTCAGAATCTTATATTTGGCATTGCAGGAAGTGAGGAAGGACTATAACTCCATCCAGGCATAATGTAATTCCATGACTTATRGTAAATTTCTTCAGCTGGTTAACAGTTCCCGAATATTTATACTAACCATAAATTAGAGTCTGTAGATTCCTGTGTCTCTTGAACACATCTTATATAATGTAGGGCTATTAAACAAAGAGTCAATATGAAATAAGTGATACAGTGAATTTTAAGTAAAAATGTGTATTTATACWTTTCCAAATAGTAGAATTTGAAATATCTTTAGACGTGCTATTTGATATGGCATATAACAGCCATGTATAATCTTAATTTACTTCAATTTAAATATAAAAAAAGTTAATCCATATATTAGTCTTATGTCAAGGTGTTCAATAGCCATGTTCAACTGCAAAGATATAAAGTGTTTTCCTCATCACAGAAATCTTGTGGCTCAATTCTGATACATAAAACATATAATAAATCTAAATGATTTCAGAAGATTATTACTAGTAGCTAATTACTTACTACTACTAAGTATATGATCTTTTCCTTACTTACAGGAGTTGTATTATCACGTAGCTGGGAAGGTATTGATCTCCTTTTGGTTCCTGGCCTCGGTGGTTTGGGAAATGCCAGGGAAAAGTGTTGCTGATTCCATGATTTTTTGCTTAATTCACTGACTAAACGAAGAAAGATAAAACAAACTTTTTAAATGGTTAGATTTCATCAGAACTGAAATCGTAGTAGATGCAATACATATCATGTAAATGAATAAATAAATGATTCCAATTATGGCTTTATTTATTTGGCAATATTTAAAATTATGTGTGATCAGTATGGAAATTAAAATTGATTTTTCTATTTCAACCAGTTTTATAGATAACTATATAAAAYAGTCATTGTGAAACTAATACAATCTATAATACAACTTCAAAGAAACATTACTACTATCCTTAATTAATTTAATATCTCTGTAGTCTTGGTTTTGCTTCATGTTTTTGGGGATTAGAATACAATTCTGTTGATAGAAAATGTGTTAACTATTTCTGTTTCTCCCGAAGTCTTTAGTCAATGTCTGGTATAAAATATTCAATAAACAGATCATCGAACCTTAAGGGTTAAGGTTTAAATCCTTTAAGTTAATCATTTTTTAAGCCACAAGAGTAAAGGCTATAACACACAAGAATCACATTGCTATTAACGACATGCTTAATGATAAACAAGTGACAAAATGCCTACTGAATGATGACTGAGAGGGTGAAGTTTCCCCAAAACTATAAAATAAATGTTTAGGGATATTTAAGTAAAAACTGAGGCCAGTGAGAGATATTGTCATTGTATTAAATATATATATATCACTACGTATAAAAGAAGATAAACTTCTCCTGTAAGTCTCCTAAAGATGGCACCAGGATCAGTAGGGAAACTGTACTGAAGGGAAGGTGTATTTAAGTTTAGTAAATGAGGGAAAACCATTTGATAATTAAAGTAATTCAAATTAGATGAATTTGACTTATCTAGAAATGACATTTTGGCCAATTATAAACTAGATATAGCCTATCAGGAAGTTAGTAGAAATTGGCTGAGAAGTTGTAAGATTATATAACTGTATAATTTGTAACATGAAAATATGTCCACCTTTATGTTGCTGAAAGTATTTGCTTAATCTTACTTGGATTTAAACAGTAATATGCTAAGAAGGTATTCAATGAGCCCAAGAGAAAGAGTCCTTGGGAAATAAGTGTTTATTATTAATTACCTGATATTTTTTTTGCTTTACCCTTTTGAATAAAAGATAATAATCATTTATTTCYAAAATTAATAATGTGTGTTTTACAATAAATATTGAATTCTTCCTTACCTGGAATATAATTATCATATGTCCCATAGTTTATTTTTTGGCTATTAAAATAAAAGAGAAATTTTTTAAATTAATTTTTATAAAACCACTGCATTTAATGATCATTATTATACATAAATACATACTACCAGCAACTTGATAAATACTTTTGCATTCTCAGATCTCCACTATTATGTAAAATAAGCTCAAAATGGTAGATAGGAACAAACGTACAAATTTGTGTTTGGACTTCAACAGAATTAAACCATGGTGATGAACCAACTTGCCACATCTACAATGTACACAAGTAGATATTTTTTGTAAATTGTAGAACTATACTCAAATTATTTTTCCTACCTCACGCACCAAATTTCCTTCCTATTAAATTTGAGCCAAAACATTACTTTATAACCCCTATATTTAAACAAAAACAAATTTTCAAATTATTTTCAGAAGTTAACCAACTCCACCTCACTAAGTGATAAATGTGTATGCATATGTATGGGTGGGTGCATGTGTGAATATGTGCATGTCAATGCATACTATAGGATTAACATGGAATTTCATTTTTTTTGTTCTCTAGGAAACTGTTGAATAAGACTTGTTGTAAACTATTTTCCATTTATAAGTTTTCACTTGTTTTTTTCTTATAAACATMTTTGCTCCCATAGTTTTATAATTCAATTTTTACTTATTTCTAATAGAAACCAACAGTGAGATATGTTGCTGAAATATTACAGTGTATTATTTATAGAGCCRCTGCTGATCTTGAGCGAGTTTGAGCCTTAAACTCACAGAGAGTTTTAATTATTTTAAAGGTCTATAAAAAATAAGATATTAGTACAAAAACCTACACAATATCTTAATACCTTCATTAAGTAATGAAGTTTTCAGCTTAAAACCTAGCATATTTTTATTTCTCTACAAAAGTATGAATTAATTAATTGAATAAAATTTAGCATATGTTTACTTGTCACTTATCTAGGCTGCTGTATTCTTAACTGAATATATTCACCAAAATTATTTGAGCCATTATRTCTGTCTCTCTAAGCTTGGATCTAGCCAATGTATATTTTATACTCTGTTGAAGAAATTTTGATGTTTAACCATGAATGAGAATTGCTTCATTCCAAATGCTCTGAAAGAGAAAATGCTTCAGGTTCATGAAACAATATACTTGTAAACATSAGATTTTTAAAATGGTAAATAAGCATGATCTATTAAAGTTTTATAAAACCTCTAGAGAATATGCTTTGATTATCAAGCAACTGAATTAGAAGTCAATTATAAAARCACCTAGAAAATGCATAAATATTTAAAAGTTAAATAACTTCTGAAGAAATAACCAACAAACAAAAAACACAATGGAATCTGGAAAACAATGAAATCTGGCAAAAATCACTTTCTGCTGTGGTAAAAAATTTCTGTAGTTTTCTTAGAGTTAATTTGGGTATAGTTATTATTCAATAAATTTTGATCATTTGCATTTTTACTTAGGAGATTTTATAGAACCTCAAAATAACAATAAAATAAATAACCCAGGCCCCTGTCATTATGTAAATTTATATTGACATAAGCAATTAAATCAATCAAATTTTTTATGTGAGAAAATATTTTCCTACTGTCTCCCCAAAATGTAGTTCTGCTTGTAGGAGGATCTTTGCCTTGCTTCTCTGGGACCTTTGGGCCATTCTTTGAAATCAGATTCATTTGGATTCAATTTTTGACATTTCTTATCAAATTATCTACTAAAAATAATAAACTATTAGTATGTCTTMTACTAYTTTATTATTTTGAAACATTTTTTGTGAATGTAAATATATTTTGATAATTTTAAATTGATTTTAAGTTCATGAAACCAAGAAAATTCTAATGACTTATCCTATRAAGAAAAACTATTGGAAATTTTGGTGAAATGATTTTTAACGTTTCCAGCTATTTATAAGGAAACTCAGCAATTAATTCCTCACATTAGCCAAGATAAAATGGAATATAGAAGTCACAAATCTGCCTTTACTTCAATTAAAATTATTCTCAATATTTGTGAGTTTTTGACATAAAGATTATTTTCACAGAAAAGATAATGTGTTTCTGACTTAGAAAAGGAATTTAAAWTTTTTTTTTCAAAATAAAAGTTGAGGTCCCAATGTAGGAGACAAGACAAAGTTTATTTTTTAAGAAAAAAATATATTTCTATATTACTACCAGAAAAATGTTTTAAGGGATATACTTAAACTAACTTTTCTTATTGTTTTCTTTAAGTCTAAGATAATTTTAATTTAAACACAAAATACACCTGCCTTTATTCTTGCCTTTTACTATACCTCTGCCTGTATGTATTTTAAAAGCACATAATAAATTAAAAGGTCAAAGGCTTCAACAATGTGAATTGTCCATAGACTACCTGTTTGTAAGAATGTCTCCAGATATCCTGCCAGCAGGGAAAATAGGGTCATAAAATTGTTGCAGAGTGTGTTCTAGGGACTCACTGTGATCTCTCAATCTTCTTGTGTTTGCTTGAGAGGTCACAATATCAATGCCTCACAGTTATTGTCTTGCTGAAGAATGGCTCTTTGGGTGGTAAGATTTTCTTTCTCTAGCATTTTCTGGAATGGTTTTTCAGAATGGATTTATTTTGAACTCCTTACCCAGGGGACATGTTGCAATATCTGAAGATATTTTGTCTATCATAATTGTGTGTGCTGGGGAAATATGATACTGGCATCTAGTGGGTAGAGACCCTGGATGCTGCTAAACATCTTATAATGCTCAAGAAACTGCCACCCTCCCTCTCCCAGTACTACACTCCAAAAGAATTATCTGGCATAAAATGTCACTAGTGTCAAGACCGATAAACCCTTTTCTAGATCAMGGAGAATCTTCAGACTAGGACAGTAAGAGAAGCTTTTATTAATGCAACTCAAGGGAGGGAAAATATAAAATATACAGTAGATATGAGACTAAATCTTTGTGAAACTCTCACTTCCTAGATAAAAGATAGTCTTATTCAACATTATAAATGGAAGAACTGAGTTGACTTGTCAGAGGCCAAGGCAAGAAAAGGTGKAACTATCAAGTGGAAGATCTGAGGTTTGGATAGACGCAAGGTTGGTAAGAAGAATAAGTAAGGAGGAGGAAAATGAACTCAAAGAGGAAAATTTTCTTTATCTGCAAAAATTTGTAGTTATGGGCACAGAAATATTTATTCCAGAACTAAAGCTCGGCCGTTCCTAGAATTAAAGGACAAATAGAAAAGAAATCTTTGTGTGTGCATTGCAAATTCTCTGTATTAAATAAATTGGGAGTTCTCACGTGAATCCAAAGAAATATGTTGAGGTATTGCTAAAAATTTTTGTGTCTGATTTATTGTACTTTATCAGAACATCTGATTATGAACTTTATCACATTTTCTATAGTTTTAGGATTTTACTACAATACACCAAAAAGAAATTGCCATAAAAYCAAAAGTAGAGTTTTAATCATGGCGAAGTCCTCTGAAAGTCATCCAATGCTCATGATAAAATTAATACAATTGATATTATGTGGAACTTAAATGTTTTTAAGTCATTAAAATATAACATTATTCTGGCATGTAAAATGCCAAAACATAGTTAATTTTAGWATTGTCATCAAATCCCTAGGTCTTGACAGTAATCATGACAATTACATTTAAACCTTCACAAAAGATTTCTTTTAAAAAATAATGATTGTGAGCTGGCATGGTGCTGCATGCCTGTAATCCCAGTGGCTCAGGAGGCTGAGGCAGGAGGATCCTGAGAGTTCAAAGCTAGCCTCAGCAATAGTGAGGCGCTAAGAAACTCACTGAGACCTTGTTTCTAAATAAAGAACAAAATAGGGCTGGGGGTGTGGCTCAGTGGTCAAGTATTCCTGAGTTCAATCCCCATACCTACCCCCCAAAAGTAATGATTGTGTTATAAGGAAGTAGGTACGCACCAATGCCATTAGATAGCCTAATTTATTCTTAAGATTTATTGTTCATTTTTCTCTTTAACAGTACTGCTAAAAGAAAACTCAACTATTCTTTTATATTTCAAAATTTCATCCCTTCACCTTTCTTCAATGGCTTCTGTTAATGGTTTACATAATTGAAAGGTATTCTTTTTCTACCCATTTTAACAGAAAATAAATTAGGAACTACTATCATCAAACTTGCTTCCCTGGTCTTGATAATATCCTTTATATTACAGAATTCTTTCACATACACAGTGCTTCTCAGGGATATATAATTAACCATTGACTGGTCCACTTTTGCATGGTGGCCCCACTTAATTAAAGGTTTAACATTCTAAAGCTCAGTAGCCCTCTTCTGTCACTGTGACATATGTGATGCTTATTGCGCAAATTTCCAGTTTCCTCCTTAGAGAGTCATAATTCCCCTAAGAACAATGAATTATTTATTCAATATTCCTCAAAATACAATATAACAAGAAATCAAGTAAGACCTCCAGTAAAAATAGGCTTATCTCAAGACATCTATTTTGCTGAAATGAACTATCTAAACCTTGCATCAAAATAGACTGTTATGTTGCTTGAGAATGTATGTCTCTGCTTAAACACAWTCTCTCTTATTTATGAACATAATAAATAATAATATAGGAAACATTACTTAATACCACAGAGAATAAGTGTTAACCTAGCTAGAAAATTCCAATTATTTCAAATTAGAAAATTCAACAAAAGGACTTACAATCTTGGAACAGACATTTTTCCCACCTATGACTTGCCAGGATTTAAATATTGTACATTCAGGTTGGTGATGTTCAGAGGTGACATCATAAAGAGTCCAAGAGCCCTGGGAGTTAAAGGGGAAACAGCAAGAGAAGCAATTTCTACTCATGTTTTATGCTTTCTGGATTTATAACATTAATGTTTACTTTTACTCATTATTTTTAACTAAATTTAAAAATCAATGCTTTTACATCTTAAAATACTTACTTTGATTTTTCYTGTAGTTTTAATTTAGTATATTAAAGAGACAAGTTGAAATCTCTCATTTCTCTTAAGATTCATGTATCTTTCATCAAATCATTTGTATAACTTCAAGTTTCTTTTATCCTTCTTAACCAAATAACTTATTCATAGATACAAAAATGTTTTCAACAAGGCAAAGTATTTATTAAAATTGCAAACATAGTGATGGATACGAAATAGTATATATACCAACTAAAAGTATAATATACAGTGGTATTTGAGTGTGTTGCTCTTTTTAACTCTTTGGAGAGTATTTCAACAATCTTCACCCACCTTAATGGAGAGTTTTCTTAGTTAAACTTCAGTTACCATTAAGCATACACTATAAAAATAAGTGGCTTGATTCAAGGAAAGTTTCTCATGTATCAGACCATATTAAGTTCTACAAGCATTGGTGTGAGGGCCATAMATTATTTTTTAAAATGTTTTATTGGGTTTTTTTTAGTGATACCATAATTCTTATATTTACAATTTGATTGTTTYATCTGCGTTGATTTAGCAGTATTAGTGCAGACACACTCCTGAAAAGTGGTCATTTAATAACCAAGTATAATTTCTAACTCTGAACTATTTTGTTTAGAATTTTATGGTTTATACCTGGCTTATGAAGATATTTACACCTAATGCATTTCTTTTATCAGCATGTAGTAAGATCCAGAACATGAAAGGATATCCAGCAAAGCTCGCCAATTCACCATGAACCTCTCAAATTAATCTCTTGTTTTCATTATTACTAGATGTGTATGTTTTATTAAGAYATTAGAGAATCAATGATCATTTTATAATGCACATGGTAGTCTTCTATTGCTACATAACAAATTACCACAAACTTAATCACATAAAACCACATCCATTTATTGTCTCATAATTCTGCAGGGCAGAAGCTCAGGGTCCTCTGATCAGGGTCTCATATGGCTAATATCAAATAATCAGCAGGACTGGGTTCTTATATAAAGGCACTGAGGAAGAATGACTTCCTAAGCACATTCTGTTTGGCAGAATTCTGTTCTTGAGCTTTTATTTGTAACTGCTTTCTTCCTTGATACTAGCTATGGGCTGCTTGTTTTTACATTCAGAAGCTGCCCATGCTCCTTTTCACAAGACCCCCCAACATCTTCAAAAAAGTAACATTTCATAGAATCCTTATAATTCATTCCTTATAATTCAAGTATTTGTTGGTTTTATTTCTTCCTTGGTTATGCTCTCAAATGAGGAAAACCTTTGTCTCCTGAAGGACTCAAATGAATAAATCAGKCACACCTCCATAACTTATCTATTTTAAGGGCGATCAGGCCTCCTAACATATCATGCCATGGGAATGCCATGTCTTCATATTCACAGTTCTACCCATTCTCATGAGGAAGGAGCATTGGGAGTTATTCTTAGAAATTAATCTACCACAAAGTCAAAATTGGATTAAAGACTTCCTTTAGTATGTGAGGAATAAAATAAATGCATCAGCATCATAGATATTCTTTTTGTGTCCCAAGATTTTACCAATATCTATCCAACACTATTATCACACATAAGCACTTTTGGTGTTTGTTTTAAAGGGCCTTGAGCCTAGTAACCACATCCTCAAACATAAATATTTTATGTTAAAATGTTTTAACTTTTTTATATTTTATGAAATTTTATTTTTATTRTCTTAAAATCGCAGAAAAATTGTAAGTGACCAGCAAAATGCATATAATAAAATTAAAAAGAAACACTTTTGAACAACAGTCTGAGTTATAAATAATTGCTAGTGACTCAGAGCCCCATTAATCTAACCATTTTGTTATCCCTTCTGTCCTCCCCACAGGTGATCACTATTCTTTATGATAACACTACTCAGGCTTCTATCAGCATACATTGCTTGATATTCATCTATGTAGTTGTATATATTTTTATTTCTTTCATCATTCATATGCTATATACATATGCATAGATATATTATTCTTTGTGGTATTGTATGCATTATATGTGTACATCATACTGCGCTTATACTTTCTATAATCAAGGGTTTATTCAGCTTTATTGAAGAATAATAGACAAAAAATAATTATGTGTATATGTAGTCTAAAATGTGACATTTTGGAACATGCATAAATTGTGAAATGATTGCCACAATCATCATAATTAATATATCTATCATGTCAATATAGATGATAGCTATATTAATTATGTGATATATTAATTAGTTACATTGTGGGTGTGATGATAAAATTTGAGATTTATTCTCATATTTCAAGTATATAATGTATTATTATTAATCATATTTACCATGTTGCATGTTACGTGCCTACAACTTAAAAATATTATAACTGTAATTTTTACCCTTTGGCAAACATCCTCCTCTTTCCCAGAATCCCAGAACCTCCCAACCTTGGTAGCCCTACTTCTCCATTTCTATGAATTTTATTTTTTTATATTCCACATAAATKAAATCATTAAATATTTGTTTTTCTGTGTTGGTTAGGTTGTAAATCTAACCTTATTGTAACAAAAGACAGGATTTTCTTTTAAGCTGAACAGTTACTCATTGTGTGTGTGTTTGTGTTTGTGTGTGTGTGTGTGTGTGTTTTCTTTATGCATTCATCTCTCTATGAACACTTAGGTTACTGAAATAGCTTGATTACTATGATATATAGCTTGATTACTAATGTTGCAATAAATACATTGTGCAAATATCTCTTTGAGAAACTAAGGTTTTAATCTTTAGTCTATATACCCAGAAGTGGGATTGATAAATCATACAGTAACTGTATTTTTAGTGTTTTTGAAGAATATCTATACTGTTTTCGGAAGTAGCTGTACCAATTTTTCTTCATTCCACAGTGTATGGGGTTCCATTTTTTCCCATGTCCTAGCTAACATCTGTTATCTTTTGGCTTTTTGATAATAGCATTCTTAACAGATGTGATATAGTACTCCTTTGTGCTTTTGATTTGCATTTCTCTGATAACTAATGTTGAATACCTGTTTATATATATGTTGGCCACTTACTTGCCCTCTTTGGAAAAATTTCTAGTCTGATCCTTATCCCAATTTTAAATATCTCATTTATTTTTCTACTGAGTTATTTGAATTCCTTATATATTTTGGATATTTTTTAACCTATTACCAAATATATGACTTGCAAATATTCCTGTTATCTAGGTTTCCTTGTGATTTAGTTGGTTTTATCCTTTGTTGTACAGAAACATTTTAGTTTGATGAAGTCACTCTTGATTTTTGTTTTTGTTACCWGTGTTTTAGGGGTCAAATAAAAAAAAAACAACATTGCTAATACCAAAGTCAAGAAGATTTTGCCTCATGCTTTTTTAGGTGTTTTACAATTTCAGTTCTTATATTTAAGTCCTTATAAATTGAATATTGTATGTTGTRTAACATAAGGTTCAAATTGTATTAGTTAGCATGTGAATATCCAGTTTTCCCTACACCTTTTATTGAAGAGAATTCCTTCTTTCCAATGAGTGTTCTTGTTCCTTTGGCTGAAAATTAATTCATTATATATGCTTTTTTTTATTTTGGGGGCTCTCTTATCTCTTCTGTGTGTCTTTTTATGCTAGTAGAATAACTTATTCTAGTCAATTTTTTCACTGCTGTGACCAAAAACTTGACAAGAGCAATTAGAGRTGGAAAAATTTATTTGGGGGCTAACAGTTTCAGAGATCTTTATAGTCCATATATAGCTGACTCCATTCTTTGGGGCCGAGGTGAAGCATCATGGTGGGAGAGTGTGGCAAAGGAAAGTGTTTCAGAACATGGCACCAGGAAACAGAGAAGGAATTCTTCTTTCCCCAGAAATAAAATATAAACCCCAAAGGCTACAATCGCAATGAACCACTTCCAGCCACATCCTACCTGCCTATGTTAATCCCTATCAGGGGATTAATGCACTGTTTAGGTTAAACTTCTCATAACCCAACCATTTCACCTCCAAACTTTCCTGTGTTATGTCACACAAGACTTTTGAGGGTATAACTAATATCCAAACCATAACAATATCTTTATGATAGTAAAGTAATATTAGTAATATTATTAGTAATATTATTCAAACTCAGAAGTGGGATGCCTCCAGTTTTGTTCATCTTTCTCAAGATTGCTTTATATATTTAGGGTATTTTGTAGTTTTGTAGTAACTTTATTTATTTTTTTCTATTTTTTGAAAATGTCACGGCAATTTTGATTATGACTTCATTAAATTGTAGCTCACTTTAGCTTATATTGGACACTTTTATAATATTAATTTCTAAAATTCTTGAACAGACTATTTTCCATTAATTTATATCATATTTGTTTCRTACTCTCAGTGTATATATCTTTCACCTGGTCTTAATCTTTTGGTGCTACTATGTCAAAATATCATAGATTTAGTCATTTATTAATAATAAAAATTCATATCTGACAGTTCTGAAATCTGGGAAGTCCAAGACTAAGGAGCCAGCTGGTTTTGTGTCTTATGAGTTCTACTTTCTCTGCTTCCAGATTTGTGACCTATCATTGCATTTTCCAGAGGGTGAAGATGCTATACAATCACATGGAAGAAGTAGACAGCAAAAAAGATATATGATCTCTTTAAACCCATTCATAAAGAAGAGTATTATGATRTTTCCCAAAGCCCCAAACTATTATTTAAACTACAGTGTGAATTAAGTTTTAACATGAATTTTGGAGGGAAAACATATTTAAATCATAGCATTCCACCTAATTTCTGCTAAAATTCTTTTACTTCTCACATACAATAT